AAAACTGAATTATTTGAGAATTGTTGTTCTTTGTAAATAATTATTTGAAATTTTGAAAATTGTATTTTGAACAATGTCGGCTTGTTTTTAGGTAGACAATAAAACACTATATATAATGATTAATAAAAAATTAATTTCAGAAAGCATAAAAATAAATTCATAATTTATCGTTAAAATTACCTATTCGGCGATTTTCTCGCTTCATAGTCTCGCAATCACTTACTCGTTCCTCCAACAAAATTTCGCTAGGGTAAATTAAATTGAAATAAATGTTTCAGTTTTTTAGTGAACAAATGGAATAATACTCATAGATTCTGACACTAAATGCCGTTTTTTCTAAACAGATCGTTTTCTCGCTGAAATTGAGAGCAATACAAAATCTGTTTTGTGCATTAGAATCGGCATCGGAAATAGATTCGAAAATATGTGGGGCGGAGCATAGGATCTTCTCAATCTTCTGCGATTATAGGGTCCTGTGAGGGAGAAATGACCCCCTAAGCGTCCCTCATCTTCAAAGAAACTTTCGATCGGATATCCAATGGCATCATTAGTTTTTTCAATTTACCTTCAATTTTGGTCAAAAATCACGTGTTGTCGAAATTTGACCTAAATGGGCTTATTTCAACCCCTGGGGCTGCTCCGCCCTCTGGTCCACATATTTTCGAATCTATTTCCGATGCCGATTCCAATGTACAAAACAGATTTTGGATTGCTCTCAATTTCAGCGAGAAATCGATCTGTTTAGAAAAAACGGCATGTAGTGTCAGAATCTATGATAATACTTAAAACTATACATTTCTCGGAGCTATTGATTGTAAAGTTCTACATTAGGTTTGAATGATTGAGAATGAAGTTGACCCTTCGATCTCATACAAAATAAAATTTAAAGTATATAAAGTTGAAAAAATAATATAATGCAATAAGTTTTTTTTTATTTTCACTCTCTACATGTTTCTTCACCTTCATTTTCAAAAATATTTTTTGTGGTGACAAACCGATAACGAACACAAAACACTACACCAGATCCATAAAAATCTTCTTATGTCGAAAACATGCTGAAACCCTAGGAGCTTCTGAATCTAAATCGTTCTGAAATTTTACGCAGTTTATTACAATCATCCATAGTTTTTCTTGATTTCATATTTTTCAGCCACTATGTAACAAATGTAACGTCAAATTCAGTACTGTCATATGTCACAATTGAATCATTGAATGTGAGGGCAAAAGTGAGACTTATATTCACATCACATTTAACCGTCAAACCGTGAAACGGGCACTGTATTCCCAAGACCAACTTTCAACGCTTATATGAATGGTTTGTAGCGAAAATGTAATACAGAAAAGTTGAGCGGAAAAATGTCAAATGAAAAGGGATAGCTATATAGTTCACTATAGTTAACTATACAGTTTACTATATAGCTATCCCTTTTCCGCTCAATTTTTCTGTATTACATTTTCGCTCCAAACCATTCACATCTTCATTATTTTTTTTTATCAAACATGCATAAAATAACTATGGTTTGATTCGTTGAAAATTTGGCTACATAAATTTCGTTAAAATAATATATGTGTACGAATGTGGCAACAATGATCCGAGATGATGGTTGTCAAAAATGCAATTTTTTCGTTTCCACCGTTTTTTCCGACTTTTAACGGCCAACAATTGTGTCATTTACATTTTTAGTTCAATTCAGTGTTTTAATTTTGCGAAATATTTGAAATAACATAGATTTTATTGGATTTGAAAGAAATAAATGTGATAGAAATAAGTTTTGTGAATAAAAATCGCGTGATATTCCCTTAGGTGTAAATCAATAGATTGCACTCGATCCTTGTGTACTTTTGTGTACAATTTAATCGTAGAAATGAAATCATCGCGGCTATGAAATCCATACTGACGACAACATTCGACCTGCCTCTAGTGGTAATACACATAACCGGAGCGTGTTATGAGCTGATGTCAGCAGCACTAACTGACGTCAGTTGCTGTGCTCAGCTGCTGACGAGTATGCGTTGCGTTGTTCTATCGCATTTGCAGTATAAAAATGTGGAATCCAACAAGGTGTCATCTTGTCGAGCCATTGGCTCCCACATTTTTATACTGCAAATGCGTTAAAACAACGCAACGCATACTTTTCAGCAGCTGAGCTCAGCAACTGACGTCAGTTAGTGCTGCTGACATCAGCTCATGACATGCTCTGCACATAACAAACGTTGAGCGGTCAATATATGCACACAATACAGACACACTAGCATTGGATTTATACGGTTTGCGCAAATGGCTACTTGATTATGGGCCATGCATACGCTTATGTGATTGAAATCTTCAACTATCACCACAAGCGTCGTGTCAGTAGAGCTCGTCTTATGTTTACATTGGAAACAAGATGCCTTACATTCGTAAGGTTAACTTTTCTACACTCCCAAACATATAATTTCCAATTAAATCCAATTCTCCATGCATTGAAATTAGGAAAGAATCATATTTTAAATCAGACCCTAATATCAGAGCGATTTCAATACTCTGTTTTTCATACATTGTGACATAGCAAAATTCTTATCGTATTTTTTGCGTACAGCATATAGTGCACCACGCGCCTACCCTACATACCATAAAAAACGCTGGAATTCGCGATTTTCGGCGTTTAAAAATCGGAAAAAACTGCTATTTAACAGATCAAAAAATCTGTGTACCACGCACAAACCTTACGACCCTAAAATAACACTAGATTTTTTGATTTTTGGCGTTCTTTTTATCTCTTATCACTTCCGTGAAAAATGATAAGAAAAATTCGCGTTTTTTCGCGAAACTGATAAGAGATAAGGGATTGGTGTTTTCACTAAAATTGTAATATTCAAGGTCCTCTACAAATTTGCTGAAGACGCCAATCCGTTATCTCTTATCAGTTACGCCAAATACCCAGAAAACCTTAAAAAAACCGCGAAAAAACAGCGTTTCTTTTTATCATTTTTTGATTAACTGATAAGAGATAAGCGATGTTTGTCTTCACCAAAATTGTGAAGCAGGTTGTATACTACAACTATCTAAATGAAACATTTCATTATCCCTTATCAGTAACGTGGAAAATCGCGAAAATCGCGAATTCTTTCTTATCATTTTTCGTGAAATTGATAAGAGATAAGTGATATCTGTTTTCGGGAAAAGTGTGATCATAGTGTTAAAACCATTATATCCAATAAAAATTAGTTCAAATAGATCAAATATTCCCATATAAATGCACACAAATTTATGGGGGTCTAGCCAGACCCGAGGTGTGCATCCGCGTAGGTACTTTCTCGATATCCTTTTTTCGTCCTGTTCAAGGAATTTTTTTGAATTATCCTTTACATAGATCGATAGTCAATGAAATTTTAGGAAGCTACCCGGAGTTTAAGTCGATAGATAAACTAGGACTATGTTAAATTAACGATCAAAATTGAAATATGTCTGGCCAGACCCTCGTGTGTATCGGAGGGTTAAACGTGTTTTACTTTTCAATAATATTTCAAAAAATCGGGTTGTCAACTTCATTATCATAGGTAGAAATCGTACGCAGATTTTCGGACTGTATTCAAATGTGAACCAATTTCTTCTAACTGCGAATGCGTGTGATCATTAGATTGATATGAGGCTAATTTTGATTATACTTACTACATAGTTTCTTTGATTGTTTTGAAATCTGGCCTTTTGGAAGGTTCATAAGCCCAGCATTGTGACATTAGTGAGTATAGTCTTGGTGGGCAATCAACTGGCAGAGGAAGTCTTTCTCCATTCTCTAATTTACTAATAACATCGCTGTTTTTGACGCCTTGGAATGGTTTCACACCGAGCATTAAAATCTCCCTGAAAAGGAAATTTGAATGAAATTTACTTAACCTTCAAACCGTGAAACCTATTTTCTAACGTTGTTCGTGGAACCGGTGCCTGAGTGCCCATAATGCATTTTAAAGGAAAATGTCAGTTTTTTCTTGAATTTTTATTTTTAAATGTAAATATTTCAGTACTTATTGATCGTAAAAGTATGAAAACCTCTTTGAAAAGTGATAAAAGTCATGAAAAATCGAAATATGAAAGACAACAGCAAGTTTTTTGGAATTTTTTTTAAAAAAAGTGGAGATTGCAATTTTGATTCCTTCACAAAAATGAAGGCAAAAACATATACATACAAATTCCACTATGGCCGATTTTGACGTCAAAAATTGAGATTTTGAACGGCAGGTTGGATCAAAAAGTTATGTATATCACTAGAAAGGTCTTGAAAAGTAGATTCCATTTTTGATATAAAACTTCAAAATAGGCCGGCATTTGGCCAATATTTGGTCGTTGGAATTTTCTGGCCAAAATTGATGAAATGGCCATATTTTGATGAAATGATGATCGATTTTGATGTTTTATATGTACTTTTCAAGATCTTTCCATTAAATTTTATACGCAATTTGTCGAAAAATGTATATGGGCACTCAGGCACCCATTTCACGTATAGCGCATCACATATGTTTACGCGCATATGTGGTAAGCTAGTGCGCGTATGTGGGTATGTTAACCCAATTTTTGTAGCCAAATGTTCAACGAATCGAACCATAGTTATCAGCCTCATATTCATTAATTTATGATAAGAAATAATTAATTTTTAAACATTCAAAGTTGGTTTTGGGCACACAGTGCCCATTTCACGGTTTGAAGGTTAAAGATGAAGATAAGTTTATAAATTTCGAATAAAAGGGTATCTAAAAACTTTTTTGAATGTACAAAGAACCTTCCCCATTTTAAAAGTGTTTCTACACTATTTTTTACACACCGCCTCCACTTGCATTTAGTTTTCATTACATTAGATACACTTTGACCGTTGAAATCCAATCGAAGTGAAGAATAGTTGAAAGCTGCCGCTTATTCTTTACTGATATCTCTTAATTTGCCAGAATTTTTTTTAGTCAATAAACGTTAAAAAAGAAGAATAGAAAAAAATAAAGTTACCATATATACACATACCATATGCAACATCCATACATCCAGGTGTCAGATGCTGTAGTAAAACGTCGAAAATTGATTGATTCTGGAGCCATCCATTTAATTGGTAACATTCCTTTACTCGAATGGTAGTATGATTGATCTTCAACCCATCGTGATAATCCAAAGTCAGCCAGTTTAATACAGTTAGGGGAACTGACTAATACATTACGTGCAGCAATATCTCGGTGAACGAATTTCTTTGATTCTAAGTAGCTCAACGCCGTCGAAAGTTGATAACAATATAACAAAAGAGTTCCCAGTTTCAATCTATTTTTAGTTCGATGAATACAATTAAAACGATACACATGTTAATTTTATAAATTAATGTTATACATTACGTAATGACATTATACAATGGCTAAGAAAAATATTATTAAAATTTGGTCGATTTCCAGTACATAATGGTCCAAGAAAGGTAACAGCTTATCTAAAATCAATAGCAAAAATGGTCCGCAATTCATGAGGAAAGTGTTGAAAGCGTCTACAATCGTTCAATCCATATTGTCCAATTTTTTATATTTCTTGTTATTTGATGACTTTTCATTAAGATGCAGCTTATAAATTGTTTATCTGATGATTTTAGATTTCAGGCAAAAGAAAATGGCTCATTTATCTCGCAGTTACAAGGCACTTCGCCATAGCCTATTAGATAGACGCGTGATTTCAATGCAAATTGGTTTTTAAAAAGGAAAATAAACAATTCTGGTGTAATTGAAAGGCAATGAATTTTAGAAAAATATATCGAAAAAATCCAATGTATTGATCACCGGGATAGTCTCGATCATCAAACGTCAAACCAACAACGCCACACATTTTGACGGCAACGCATTGGAACTGTATTGATGCACACATGAAAAAAACCTTTGAATCAAACAAAGAAATATGTCTAAAATATGACGTTAGTAGGTTTCCATCCAATATTCCCATATAATGACAGGAATCCTACTAAACAACATACATACGCATGTACAGTCATTGGCGCATACACAAACGTCAACTCATCTATGACGTTTGTGTATGCGCCCATATTCCCATATAATGACAGGAATCCTACTAAACAACACACATACGCATGTACAGTCATTGGCGCATACACAAACGTTATAGATGAGTTGACGTTTGTGTATGCGCCAATGACTGTACATGCGTATGTGTGTTGTTTAGTAGGATTCCTGTCATTATATGGGAATATTGGATGGAAACCTACTAACCTCATATTTTAGACGTATTTCTTTGTTTGATTCAAAGGTTTTTTCGTCTGTGTGAGTGTATCCAATACAGTGTCAAAAATTGTCATGTTGTGTGATGAAACAAGGTCGCTTTCTTCGTATACAAATATTATATCGTATATGGGAAAGGTTTGACGTAAGACGCCTCTACGCGTGGAATGCTCAAAGCTGTCATCGTACACATATTGAACACGAACATTGTCGTTTACACAATCGCACTCACACAAATGAACGCGTCGATAGTGCCCGCTCAATATGTGTACGATAACTGTTTTGAGTGTCCCTCGCCTAGAGGGCTGCGTGTAGTTTTTCTTCGTTTATTAAGCGATCTTGGATGAAACAATAATATTTGATTTTTGAAATAAAAAAATGTTTCGATTCTGCTAAATCAAATTGTACGAATGTGCCGATGGCACGCAAGACAACAAAATGCTTTCTTGAGCCCGTATTAGAAAATAAATATTTTGTTTTTCGTGAAGTTAACAAGTGCGTTTGCAAAATGAGCGCATTCACGCCTGTAATCACGATTTGAACGAACTTCATTTTGCACATAATGTTATTGTTAGTGTAATGCTATCCCCTCGGTATTGATGTTTCTGAAAACAGTCGAACCTTAGCTAGAAACCATTCTTGCATGAGGTTTTTGATATACTTTTACTTTTACCACATTTTTCACCACTTAGATAAATTGACGACAAAGCCCTGGAAATCGACAAAATGTTGACATATCTTCTGACCGCCCTAGCGTACATTATAATAAAAGCTTCATACTTTTTCGCATGCGCACGCAAATAGGCACGCAATTCGCCCAAGCGTGCCAACTCCATGACTATCCATATTGGAGCATCACTACATATGCCGATCAAACGAATTATGTGAGGATGCTCAAATTTTTGCATTATATAAGCTTCTTCTAAGAATTTTTCAGACGTAATCAAATCTGCATCCGCTTTGCATGTTTTCACAGCGACATTTTGAAATATATTTTTTTCTGTGTCATTTTCGTTTGTTGATAGAGTATCGTTATCACTCTTTTGACTAGAGTTCTCAGAACCGGATTGTGTCCCTTTCAGAATCTGTGCCATCCGAAATGTTCCAATGTGAACATCACCAAACTGTCCAACACCGATAATCTCATTTAAAGTAATTTGTGATCTATTCAGTTCATAATTGCGTACAGCTGGTTGCGAATAGTCATTATCTTCCTCTTCTTCTCCTAGACCAATATCAACATAGTCTTCACTCATAATGGGCATTTTTGTATCTAATTTGAGGTTTACTAGTGACGTATTCAGTGAAGTTATATTCAATGATATATCCTGTTCCGGTACTGGAAATGGAAAAAAATGCTTTTTATTGTAGATTTAAGTCTAAATAACAGGTTAACCTTACACATTTCAGTTTTCGTATTTTCTATGTTTGCACACGCTTGCTGAGATTGCTGTGGGAGTTCTGGAAAATCATCTTGTGGTATAAAACGTGTATTAAATTTTTCCAATGCGCTGGTTGAAGCATATCGATCCCAATAGCTTGTTTCAGTATGGTTTACCATTCTGCAGTAACCATCCACCAAATCAGCTATACTGTTTGCTGTTTTTGCACCATTACAAGTAATAGTTAAATCATCCGAATTACCAACGACTTTTATTTTAAGTAGTGTTTTCATTTCGTTGCAAGAACAAGAATTTGTGATTGGATCTTCTAAAGCTTGCTTTTTAATACATTCGATATCAGTTTGTGTTTGTAGTGTTGATGTTGTGATTCTTTCAATATTTTGAAAATCTGTAACACGAGTCGGACTCGCTTGTGGATGAGCTATGTATGAAATGCCTGAATCCAGAAAACAGTTTCAATGAAAATTTTATTCTTTATTGAAAACATACCGGTGCGGCACTGGCGGTGCCTATGATTTAACCATAGTGGCCACTCAATCGGTAAAATAGAATTATTTTATTTCATTTTAAACTTACCCACATGCGGCCCAATAATTAAATCAACCGGAATATTCCACCCAGAACCCAATGTAATTACAAATTTCTCTTGATCGAAAATGTATTGTGTTTTTAACAGCTCGAAATACCTAGTACATATTGGAGAAATTTCATACATAGATAATATCAGTCAAAAAGTTTGAAACCACTTCTGGTGAAAATTGATTGGTCAAAATTATTTGATCCTAATGCACTTTAGCAGGTTGCTTCAATGCTTCGAATCGATTAGATTGCTAAAGCCTTCGATTAGTTTGCTAAATTGTTATTAACAGCTGTGAAATTTTTAACGGTAGAACATTTGTAGTAGAGGTCTACACGGTTAAATCCGATCCGAAAAAACCGGTAACCGAATCGCATCCGAACCGAAAAAATCAGTTCGGTTTTTTTTTCAGGTATCAAAAATTTAGATCGGTTCGGATATCGGTTTTTCTTGTTTTTATTTCGGTTCAATCCGAATTATAAGAAATGAACTATAACTACCGAGCTTCTCTCCTGTATTCTCATTTGAAAAATTAAGTAAATGTTGTATATTTCAAGTACACTGCAATGTTCGGAATTTTCGGATACGGTTCGATTTCGGTTGTTATATGTTCGGATAGAAATGAAGTTCGGATCGGTTTTTTTGGATATTTATTTTTAAGCACGGTTCAGTTACGGTTACTGATATTTGCCAACCGTATAGACCTCTAATATGTGAAGAAAGATAAATAAGCCCCCCCCCCAGACCCCCTTAATTCATTTTGATTAATTTTCCTGTCATGATGTATCATCCTGAATCAACATTAAAACAAACATATTGATGCATATATAAATAATTGAGTTATGAACTTACTTGAGCATGTATTCCATTTCCGTAAAGTTGTAAACTTTTTTATAACCCGTTTGAATGAGTTTTTTCAGATTTTTCTGTTTAACTGTATCTATCACAGACTTTGGTATAAAGTTACTGAAACCAATCTCCTTTTCGATGTAATCGACATGATGTTTTTTATCGGAAGATTGGTTGGTATCTTTATAATAATGTCGAATACCCAAACAGCATAATTGAATCGCTGTATCTTGATCGATATGTGTCAAATTTGAGTGAATATAATCCTGTTTAACCTATAAACAACATAAAAGTATTCATTCGGGATTGAAATCTTGAATATGAATTTCTTGTTAATTTTTATTATTCCAGACTGTAAAGGAATTGAGTTCTTTGTATTCTTAGTTTTACCTGATCAAAGTAGAAGTGGCATGTGGTTCGGTCATTTTCAAAAAGTTCTCTTAAATCTGCGGGTATGTAGCGTACACGGAGTTCGGCTTTCCACACACTATTAGAATGGCTCACATTGACTTTTTGTTGCTGTTTACGTGATATACTTCCACTAGCAGCAGGACATTTTGAATTAAAACAAGTTGGATTGGAAATGTATGAAATAACTTCATTCATTGAAGTGTCCGGTGGGATCCATAAAGTCTGTGTGAAAATGGGGTTTATTTTATTATATACAAATATATCTTCTTAATAAACATATCTGTTTACTAATTTTTCGTCACTAGGAATGTTTTTGAAAGCCAAGAATGATAAAGACAATAAAAAATGAAATTTGTTTGAAAACTCAAACGAGGATATAGTTGTCATTACATCTACTCGTTTGAGAGTCTCGAATCAGGATCAAAAGGAACCCTATCATAACGCCATTTAGATCTTTCATGTTAATTTCACAATGCACTGAACTAAAACGAAACGGGTGTGTTTTGTTGTTATAATCAGTCACGGAGTGTATCTGCTGCGATGGTATGAAAGAAACAAAGAACTTCAGAGGCATGACTTCGATTCCCGAAAATAAAATTTGGGTTCTTTTGGTATCAAACGTGTTGATCCAAATCTTCATCGAGTTTCACATCCTGGAGAAGAAATGTTGCCCGCAAAGTTCCCGTTTGCGATCTTTGATAAATAGTCAAGTTGTATCAAATTAAAAACTTTTCCAAAGTCAATTCTCGTGCTGTTAGCGAACACATAGGTGCTATGCATTTTACGACGTCATTTTGAAATGATGTAGAGATGGTTAGAAGAATTGAAAAAAGCACATTCCGTCTTTTTATATCGTTGCTTTTCGTTTTTTGTTATAACAGTAACATGTTCCCTTGCCATTATTCTTAAGTGTTTATATATTAAATATAGATCATTAGCGCATCCCTAAAAATACTAACTTATTTTTATTTTATGTATTTTACTTTACCTCTCTTGTGAGCATGTGACGCAAACGTAATGCATAGCTTTGTGAATTAGTCTTTTGGTTTGGTGACATTGAACTCATGATTAAATTTATTACTTGTCGAACATCGGATGCCTCATCAAATCGAATCATCCGAAACCCATGATTTGGAAGATGTACATGTAATGTCTGAACATCAGATTGTACTGTTTCGAATGAAATAAAAAGAAAATAAAATTAATATTTTTAAATAGTAAAACGAAAAAGATCGACTTTATACATTGAAGGTCGAGTTGTGCAACAAACGCTAAACTGTTATCAGTAGCACGGAAACATTGAGAAATTATAAGGCTATAATAAGATTAACTATTGTTCTGTGGAATTGCACTTTCATGTTATGACGACTTTTGCAGTCATTGAGACCGACAGTAGATTGTTCAACGCTTCAGCTAGCCTTTTATTTTTCGCACGTTTAAGTTAGGCATTTTTGGACCGTTGACAATAGGCCTCCTACAGACATCTTCATGTTTGGTTATTCACTTCAGTGGTTACCGGGAACCGGTAGTTCTACCGGAAACCGGTAGTTCCAAAATGAAAAATGCAGCACTAAATTCGAATTCCGATAGTCGATATTTGAATGTTTTCTATTCTTTTGCTCAATTTCTAAGTATACAGAATAAATTAATGCAACGGTTTTGTTCACTTTTTATTGTTTTCTTCTTGAAATGACCATTATTTGGTTGAATGTTCCAAGTGATGATATTGTTAAATTAGCAACTGCTAGTGACACATATTATTTACAATATGAATGTAGACGCTCGCTAAATAATGTACTACACTCATATCAGGCACAGGTTGCCTATTTCAATGGGGCATCCAATGAATGTGCTGAAACTGCCAGATATTTCAATAATCTCAAAACCGAACGAAACCTGAAATTGCTCTTGTTTTTAGCGGTATATAGCAAATGTTTTAGCGATGCCATAAAAATGATTCAACGATTGTTAGTTTCGTGCGTCACTTGAATTTCCTGAAAATGTACTCGAAGATTTGAAACAAAACCCATTGCTAGGCGGCTAGGAAGAAGCATGGAACGAAGAAATTGTTGTGGGAAACGACGAAAAGGTATTCCTCAAAGAGGTTTAGCTTGCTTAAAGTGGTTGAACTTGGTTGAACTTGAGCCCAAAAGACAACACAACATAAAACACATTCTCTGCGTGAGTGCGTCATTGACTCTAATATTGAAATCAGTACAAATCGATTCTCTATAGACAATAAATTGGTCCAAATTGTTGAACCATTTATCAATTTCCGAGGCGATGCCGATTTGAAAAAAGGTCCACGAGCTGTTTGGGAAGGATTTGGAATCATCATCAATACATTTGCAATACCAAGAGCTTATGCAATTGAAATCTCAACTTAATTTGGAGTCAAGTCCTTATACCAATATAAAGAAGCTAACATACCATCTCGTTATCTCTTATTATCAGTTACGCGAAAAATGATAAGAAAAAACTCGTGCTTTTCGCAGTTTTTAGCGTTACTGATAAGATATAACGAAATGGTGTCTTCGCCAAAATTGTAGTACTTAAAATTCCCTACAACTTTGCTGAAGACCAGAGATTACTATGGGATATTTTTATTCATATGGGATAAGGATAGGAAAAATATCGCATAAAAATAATAGATATTTTTCACGCGTTGCGTTCAGCGAAACGCATAAATAAACAATAGCGATTCTGCACACACAGAATCACTGTTTTTTCGTTATACTCTTCACACTTACGATGAGCTGCGCGGAGCGTGCATGTAAATGTTTCGCTCACTTCTTTCTTTGAACACTCTTCGTGTGTCAACACAATGTTTGTGTGTATCGCTTGTGCCGTCGTTTGTAAACGACGTCAATGAGCTGGGTACGAAGAGTGTCGATCGAAAGAAAAGAGCGAAACATATAAATGCACGTTTACAAACGACGGCACAAGCGATACACACACAGACATTGTGTTGACACACGAAGAGTGTTCAAAGAAAAAAGTGAGCGAAACATGTGCATGCACGCTCCGCGCAGCTCATCGTAAGTGTGAATAGTATAACGAAAAAACCGCGACTCTGTGTGTGCAGAATCGCTATTGTGTATTTACGCGTTCGCTGAACACAACGCATGAAAAATATCTGTTATTTTTATGCGATATTTCTATCCCATATAAATAAAAATATCCCATAGTAATCTCTGCTGAAGACACATATATCTAAGGCCACACACATGGCTTGCGTTTTTCGCGTAATACACGTAACTGAAAAGAGATAAGTGATACCTGTCTTCAGCCAAGTTCTAGGAGAACTCCTGTACTCCAACTTCTCCAAAGACACTAAGTCGCTATCTCTTAAAGCAGCTTTACATGACGGAATATGGCTCACGGGACTTAGTTCTCCATTTAAAATGACGTGAACCAAATTCCGCCATGTAAAGCTTATAGGTCATAAATATCGTCTTTTCAATATCATTTTTGATTCAATGTTGTTAAGTAAGTTTATCTTTCTCAAAATCATAATATTTTATATGCTTACCATTTGAACGAGACGGACTAAAATGGGGTGAGTGACCACGCGTAATATTTAAATCAGTCATTTTCTAATTTTAAAATAATAGGAAATCTTATTAAATATTTTAAATAATTGTGCGTCCGAATTTACTCGTAATTGTTGTGTTGATTCGTAAATATTCTATTTTCTTGGGGACCGTGTATATTGCTTCAATTATTTTCTGTGAAAATGTCTTATTTTAGTATTCCTTTGCCCCCAAGATTGCTGATTAATCACAATCAATGCAGGACCAGTAAATCCGTCATAGCTATAAAAACAAAAATAAAAAGTTTTAAATAGGACAAACAAAATATTTCATACAAAATTGCATCAAAAATGTAAAACCAGAAAATAATACGTACAAAATGTTAACGATTCGCCTGGTATTCTTGCATTGTTTTGCATGTAAAAGACGATGTAGGTGTTCGTTGCCAGGATTTTAAGAGTAAGTATAGCTTTTTAAATATGTCTGTTTGAATTAAGTTTTAATCGTTGGTTAAACAACTTTTTTCGATCGTAGATTCTATAAAAATGGTGAAATAAAATACGACACTCGAAGTGCTAATATTTAAAGTGTAAATTTGGGCGCTACCATCGTTGAAGAATACTATCCGTGTATCTGTTTTTGTGCCAAGCATAGGATACGACGTGGATGCAAAAGATCGCACCAAATTAAAAAAAAAATTAATAACCGTGCGATCACATCATCACATACGTATACATATCCTAATACTTTCACAAACATCATCACCGTCTTCGTAAACACTATTTTATATTGATGAATGAAATTCAGTTCGTTGAAGGAATAAATTATTATTCATTTAAATATTATAGCAAATACATATAATTATTCATTTTCCTCATTATTTTTACACCTATTGACGTTGTTTAGTTTCAAGATGCTTCGGGTAATAAATTTCATTCAAATCGCATTTTCGTTTTTAATGTGACTTATAAACTCTGTCTCAGTCTATACGCACAAATCCTACGCAATTTGATTCTTTATTTGACCAAAATAGAGTTTTCTTCAGTTTCGGTGCAATTTTTTTTTTGCAAACTGAAGAACATTTACGTTATGTTGTGGTGAATGTTCAATTATTTCAAGTTATTTTGTTTCAATTAAAACAATATGGGATATTCGCAAAATTTATTTAGTCTTTTCAAACTGCCAACAACAATATAAAACACTAGACACGTGCTATTGTTAGGAATAAAAATGGGAAATCGAGATAAAACAGTTGTCCGTACGTGGGTAGTATATATCCAAAATTTCAGAACAGCCAAATAAAACGCTTTCTTCGATAACGATTTGTATTTTTTAGTAGGAATTATTTAATTTGGTGACTTATGTCACTGAAGGAATAAAGTCGGCTGTTCTTATTAAGTCGGCTGTTCTTATGAACAAAGAAGTGATTCAATTTTTTACATTCATATCGATCGTGTGCTGGACTTTGTTATTCTTAGCATGAAGAAACAAATATTTAACGTTACAAATATGATTATACATTACATTTTTGATTACTTCAAATCATACTTTTTTAATTTCATTCTGTGCCTGTCAAAGTGTTTTTAGCGGAATTTAACAAAGAATGGCATTGCCGTTATCAATATACACTACGCGTAGAGTCTGTTGGAACCCACAAAGGGACTCATTTTTGGTCTAGTTTGTTATTGCATAATAATTGAGTCGTCACATGAAATGTACTACATTACTAGGGGACTCACGCCAATTTCCATATTTAAAATATGAACAAATAATATGAATTAGTTTATGTTTCAACATATTAAACAGATATGTATGCATAATTTCAATTTTGCTCAATTTTGTTCAATAAACCGACTGTCAGCAGAACCATGTCCAATCTGTTGACGTCATTATCGCTTCAAAAATTCTGGAAATGGGTTTTGGTGGATCCTGTGGATTGTTCAAAACCGCTCCTGGTTCTGGAAGTGGATCCTCAGGATGGGCCAGGGCATTGTCAAACCCAGTCTGATCCATCCTGAAGATCCACCAAAACCCACTTCCAGAACCGGGAGCAGTTTTGAACGATCCTGAAGATCCACCAAAACCCACTTCCACAACATATTGTTCAAGGTGAATATGAACAATAACAACGCATTCGGGAAATAATACAAAATATTTGAAATCTAGCGTGAATTTTACATGATTTAAATAATACAAATAGATTTTGCTAAATAAAATTTGGCATGAATCCCCTAGCTACATTACAAGGTATGAATGGATTAGATAGATAGCATGTACAGTACAATAAAGTTCAGGTCACCAAAAATAAAAAAATCAGCTGAACTTTTGTATTAAATTCAATGCTATCACAATAACCAATACACTATATCATAATGTATGGAAATGAAAATGTTCAAGTATCGTAATGGTAAAAACGTTTTAATGTAAATTTTTAGTTATTCACAGATAATAATTAAACATATAAACAGAATCTGTTTTGGCATTTAAAAAACCAAAGTTTTGAACCCCGAGGAAGAAAAAAAAACAAAGTTAGTACCTTTTAATGTACATTGTACAATGTTTTAACGGTAAAATAAATATGTAATAGACTAGCATTAACAGCCAAAATGAAAAAAGTCCGCCCCTATAATAACACTACTTCTATACTATAGTAGGGAAACCATGCTAAGCGGATAACCCGAGTCCGCTGAAAGTGATTTGACAACGATTTCTTGTCTCGAACTTGTTGTTCTTATTCAAGTTTTTCAAAAATCAGACTATGTTGAAAGTTCAAGATAGTTTGGAAATAGATTCGGAAGCAAGTTCGGAAGAGTAAAGTTAAAGTTTTTTTTTAATTCACAAAAAGTGTGGGAAAACTAATTTAGTAATTTTTTATATTTTTTCAAAGTACTGGCTGAATATTTTGGGTTTTGTGGGAAAATGACTCCAAGAGTCATGGAACACCTGATCTATTCTTGTTTATACAATTGGGGTATTACATAGATAGTTTTTATTCAAAAACTATTTATTTTATTCAACCAATGAAACGCCACGGCATTCACGTTGCAAAATTGTCACTGCTAGAGGCACAATTTAGATTTTTTTAAGGTGGATATTTGAAAACAATAGACATTTTGCATTGCAAACGTGTTAAAATAACCCTTCAGGCGCCTTGAGGTATGAAATTCAACACAGTTCAGGCCATGCCTGTTCAGCAGCAGAAAAACACTCTCTGTTTTTTTCACATTTTTTTTATTCTATGATTGTATTTTTCCAAAACACTAATTGAACTATGTATCACCACAATGGACATAATATAGAAAAATTTCAAATATTCCTGCCGATAAAGTTTTTGTGCAAAACGACGGTTAATGATGTTTTTCATATTCTATGCGTTTTTTCAAAACAAGACATTCAACTGAACGATTTCAATAACACCACTATTCATCTTTTACATTTATTAAATGAATTAAAAATTATTAATTCGCGTTCAACAAAAGTACCAGCACGATATGTTTTTTTTTATTCAAGGTAGAATAGATAGATGCTATTCTATAGCTATTCAAGTCCAGAAGTGACTCAGAACTTTTTCAGTTGAAACCTACGGAGTTTGGATAGATTTCTGATATAAATGCATTGCTTTTTGTTCTTTCAAGCTTTCAACATTACATTCAGAATTTAAAAAATTATATTATGCTCTGATGCACTCTTTTTATGATTTCTAAAATCATCCATGATCCATTTGAAATAGATTCAATATATTTTCGCCTTTTTTTAAATTTCTGTTAAATGTGTTTGAGCGTCTTTTGCACATCTATTGATTCTTTGGTGACTTTGGGCCAAATACTTTGGGCATGTTGTACTTCTGATATGCAAAATCAAAGAAGATGGATTTTTAACCAAAAAAAAGTTCTTTCCCGAAGACATTGTTGTATGTAATTTGTATCATTGTTTCTTATTATGGGGGCAGAGGGATACAGGGCGTCGTGAACGTGTCGTTGTTGATATGCGCACTAGCCATTTTTCGCAACCTTTGAACTACCACTAGCGTACACATCGAAAACAGTATTTAAATTACATATTGGGCAATAAAAACTGTTCGCAGTGCGTATGACATTGCAATTTTCAAAAAAAAAATTATCCAAATTTGGAGAAATAAGTTAAACTGTTTTTCATTTGAATATAATCGGATCATTGGATCCATGGGACAGTCTTTGTTAATATTGACTATGAGAATTTTTCCAAGCAAATCGTCCAAAAAGAGTAGTATCAACAACTTACTGTTTTATTATATTAATTGGATATTTTCAATATTTTTGAACGTTTGGATGTTAAATGTAACAATTTTCCGTCTTTATCTAATAAACAGTTTCCTTTTGGATTGAAAGTTCACTTGGACAACATTTATCAAAAAGGGGCACTTTTACTGATTCACTCTTTTGTAATCGGCCAACTTTCACTTGGTATGCGCACTTTCTTGAAGCTACTATATTTTCAATTTTTTTATAGACACAACAATTTTTTCAATTAGCTTCAGTTACTTCAGAAGTTGAATGTAAACAAACTGACTAAAAATTGTTTACGTTATGTTCAATTATCGGTGAATTCAATTCAACCATTGATTTCATTCGGTGTATGTGAAATGATTTAATTTGTTTTGTGAACGAATTCATGACGTTCGAAATGACAAAAGTATTTAAAGCTGTGTCAAATCTTTATTTTATATTTAAAAAAAACTCAAAAAGGTAGTTCATTAAGTATTAGAGTGTGCCCTCTTGTGGTGAATAGATAATACCTAGGTGATCTGAATATGTGAAAATTAATTATAAAAGAGAATTAATACAAAATCTTCTGTATATCGTTGTTATTTATTTTATTGTTTTTATTCTAATTTTATTAATTTTATGACATTCATATTACATAATGTACTCTATCTATATTCTATATAGATAGCCATAGATAACACCTTCATCTATGGCTAGACCGTATATTACATTGAAAGCCCATTCGACATGAGACGATCTATGGACGTTAATAAATCTTGTGGATGATATCTGGAACACTAAGACGTCCACCAGCTTCTTATAACATACTGTTACATTAATTTTTTTCTCCTTATTTCTATTCTGCAAGCACTGGTTTGGCTTTCTTCAAAATTCGCAAGCGATGAGTCTTACTCATCATGAGTGATGTAATCTCTCCAACTGCCCTTTAGCGACGCCGTTCGTTCGTATCGATTTCGGTCCTCCCGATCGCTCCGTTCAAACATCTTGAAATTCCATGTCCATTTCTCCGCTTTCCTGTCGCGTTTGGTCAGATAATGATACTTCTTGCTCGATATTTTGAAGTTTATCTTTTGGTGAAAGAAAAAAATGAGAATTAAATTGACAATTGAAAATCAAACAATGAATACTATTTTATGATTGTAATACCTCTTTATGGGTTTTGATGGTTCTTCGGACCGTGGCGTTACATGTCTTCGTGCCTGGGTCCATACCGAGCTCGTAGACGAAATCACCATCTTCGTGTCGCTTTCGAACGATCCCATCACTTTCCAAACGTTCTAGTTGCGATTTTGGCACATTGTACTGTGCCTCATGAGGCCGAAACACCATCGCAATAAATCTTATAATGAAATGGTTTTTTCGATTTTACAATTCGTTCGATCTTTGGCATGAGGAAAATTGTATTCCAATAATCGTCTTGGTTCCGGCAGGCATCACCAACTTTGACTTGAACACCATTCACTCTTGGCAGCAATCGCAATTCGGCCATCATGTTGTAGAGGATGTCAGTATCAATTCCTACAAATTTCCACATGTGCGAGAAGATTAGTATGACTTTTCAATTCTTGATTTGTGTCACTTCAATTGTATTTATTTATTTATTTACACCGCCAAAAGACTGGCTGACTGGCGGAATAATTTGTTTTGCAGGAAAATGACTCCAAGAGTCATGAAAAACCTGACCTTTTGATTAATTATATATAATAGGATATAGATTGATTTTACATAGGGGAGGACGGAGTATTTCGACGCACTTTTCTTAACTATTTAAAATCTTCCGACCTAGTCATGCAATCTGACTCATTGTTGTATCATATGATAGGTATTGTCAATGCAAATCTTTTGATGCATAACACTTATGGTGTGTGGAGTCACCCAGAAAAATTTTCTGGACAATTTCTTGACCCCCATTTTTCCGGGGCAAACTGACGCACTATACGGGGCTAACCGACGCACCCGTATTTTCATCGTATTTCAAGTCATTTATCTCAAAATAAGTAATCGAATGAAATCTATTATGTTTTACGATCTTTATGAATAATGTGACCAGATCATTTTTTCGAAAATACAGGAGATCCGGGGAAAATGAGAGGAAAAATATAGGAGAATATTGGATTCAAAAATTCTTTCTTCTTCGGCCAAATTCTGAGCACAACTTGACAACGATTCCGCGGTAATTATGAGTTTAATATGCATGAACATCTTGAAGAAGCAACGCAATCAAGTGGGTCTTTTTATGCCAAAGCCTCCACTTTTTCTCTCAAAGTCAATGACTTTTTCGCCTAAAGCCATTTCAGAGACTTTTTATCCCAAATTGATAGAATCCGAACACACCAGGGAATCGTTGACTGAATAGTTCGATGTCAACTATCGCATATCTTCCGACATAGTGTGTTTTTGAAATGAACATTTTGGAATAAAAAGTAGGCCTTTTTGAGCCAAAGCACTCTACTTTTCCTTCCAAATTCAATGACTTTTTCACTTGATCATCACAACATCTGTAGTGAAAATCCATTTGTTCGTCTCCATTGATACATAACAACTAAGGGTATGTTTCGTCTTGTTTTCTTTGACATTTCTTCGTAACAGATAAATAAAAATAAATAAATAAACAATTATCAATGAACGTAATGAGAAATTTACGCTCATTCATAATCCCGTGCAAAGCATCGTTGCCAGAACATGTGACAAAATAAATCTGTGTGGCCATTCCATTCTTCTCAGTGCGAACAGTAAAAATATTTATCCATTTATTCATTTGTTCATGTACACCGCCAAAAGACTGGCTGAATAATTTCTAAAGTGACTCCAAGAGTTATGAAAAACCTGATCTTTTCGTATTTTTACAATATATGGTAATTTTATACAATAAATAGTTTTAAGAATTTGGTCTATAAAAGCATTGACACAAGATAACCCAACCGATACATGGAAATGCATAGGTAGCCAAAATGTAAATGGTCCAATATGGAACGTGTAAAAATGAAAGACTAACTGAAGCGTTAACACTGCCCTAATGACAGCAAAAGTCATCATTCAATTTATCCAGAGGTCATACATTGAAGAAAAGTTTTACGTCTAATCTAACAAGTCCCTATTGGTAGTTATGATATTGCGTATCACATCGCGGCTCTTTATTGGCTACTATTGTTCAGTGAAATAAAATTAAAAGTCTTTGATTTTAACTCAAATCATTTACTATATTGAGAGTAAATTAACGATGGAAAATGTATGCTGGGGATATCAGTTGGCAATGTCGGTTGATAATGCCCCGTTGCGGCGATATTGCGAGAGAATGATCAGACGTCGCCACTATTATTATATCGTATTCCAAACAGACTCATTTCTTCGTTGTGATCGAAACGTTTTGAAAAATGTCCTGCTAATCGATTTGATGCTATGCAAAGAAACTGATGTGTTGAATGGGCACGATCTGCATGCAAACAAAACAATCTCGACGAAAATAATCCAAAGTGCGTGAAATCTCAACTCGGCGAATGTTTCTAACCGATACGATTCGATGCAATGAGAACGGAAGAATTGGTTGAAATTTTGTCCGCACATCGCGATTTGTTCTCATCGAGTGAACTGGCGGATATTTCATTCATGTTTAATCAAAATCCACGATCAAGGCCATTGAATTATTGGTCACAAAACCGAGAGTTAATGTGCTGGCGACAGAATTCAATCGAAGATACACCGTACCACATTCAAAGCATAGAATCTCTTTGGTTCACAGCCAATAAACCACCTCTGTTTGGTGAATTTTGGTGTTAAGGTCTGTTGCATCGATATTCCCATAGCGTTTTTTGGTTGACTTTGTTCAAAAGTGAAGAAAATTCGCATCACCATGTTGCGTTCCTCAAATTATACACTACATAACCATTTTTGTAATGTTTGCGCTTGTTTGTTGGGACTGTAAAAAAGCAACCCAATTCCCAGTAGTACCGAAATAAATCCGTTCGCATGTACGACATTCGAAAGTGTAATAAGTCTGTCAATCTTGCACGACTTTTCGACAGGATTAGTTTTGTACATCTTCGATTTGGTTTTATCTCCGTATGACCTTCATTATGCGATTGGATGGACGCAAATCCAAACACACACATCTTCGTGCAAATAAAGTCTCTTTTATCCAAATTCGTATTCAAATTCGCATAAAACGACCGACCACATTGCTTAAGCAGCACATAAGTTCTCGAACGTTTGTGTGACAAACAACTGATTTTGAAACAGAACATTTTTTGCGATCTTACCAATTTTTATCGTTAGAGAAAGTAATCAAAAAAGTTTAGTTTTGAAAATAATTTTGAGTTAACCCTCAACTGCATGAATTTTTCCCAGAGCTGATAATTTTTTTTCCTGGTTTATTTTGATGAATAATCAACGGAAAAAATATTGGTTTTTCCGAAAAATGAAGAAAATTGGGAAAATTGGGTGGAAAACTGTTGCCCGCCAAAAGGCGGTTTCATGCAGGAAAGACATAGAAAATTCGATATTTCTTTTTTAAATTTTTCAATGAAAATATCAAAGTACATGTCATCAGCACCGCCCGGAAATAGTGCTGGTAAACCATAACATGTAAAAAATAGTGCTCGAATAGTGCTGTCGATTGCAATTGGTCCCATGAATAGTGCTGTTCGGAGACGCTAGCACTATTCGTTTGAAGTTGAAAAATCGATTTTTGGGTACTTTTGTATGGGAGGTATGTGAAATATTGACTTTTTCCACACGACTGGTAGCCGAGCACTATTCGTCGAAAGTTGAAAAAAATCGATTTTTCGTTGCATTTCCATGGCAAGTGTCCGAAATCGATTTTTTCGTATGATTACTGGCTCTATGAGTCCTGTTCGGAAAAGTGAAACAGTATAGTACAATTGAGTCATGAAGGGAGTCACAATATGAGTCATAATCGGAGTCATTCATTTGTCCAAAGTGATTCAAACTTGATGTGACTCACTCTTCATGAGTCGTAAGAAACGAGTAAGATTCTGACTCCATTTTGAAGGCAATGAGTCATTCGAGTCAATGAACCAGAATTGATACATTGAACGTTTGGAAATCTTAATCGTTTAAAGAACTTAAGCTATTTTCCAAAAACAAACTAGACAAGATTTCTGAACGTTCATTGTATGACTCATTGATTACGTGAGTGTGCCAGAAAGTCATGATTTTCTGTTTCACGCACCAATACTGTATGTATACTCGAATTTCTGCTCGTCACTGCATCCTGGTGCGAACAGAATTTTGAGGAAAATTGGAGAAAACTGATTTTCTAGAGAAAACTATCAATTGTAATTTTTTTCAAGTCGATTCATGATTTTAGTTATTTGTGATGTTTTGTTAGTTATTTGGTAGGTTGATAAAAATATTTATGTGAATGAGCTTTAAAAAAAGGGAAACCTGCTTTTTCAGATAAATCAAATAGAAATCTAATAAAATAAAATAAAATCAAATTTCTCAGAAGTCACCAACTTTTATGTGTGCGTGAGTTGAATGTAGCGACTAACGTATTACACATTATAACGTAGGTGAATTTGTAATACACTAGCGTAAATGCAGCAACCTCTGTGTTACCGTATGCAACATTGGGCAATACCGACACACGTATACACGCACATATACGGTATTACGGACTTTGACACATTTTTTGAACGGAGTTAGTAGCATTGATGAAGATGACGATTACACTGTCTTTCGTGTCCATTCTTCTTGGTTTCCTCAACGGTACGGTTTCTTATTGCTGTCGCCAACTGGTGCTAGCATGTGTACTACAAAGAAAATGTCAAAATCAATGTCAAATTATTCAACACAAGAGTGAAAAAGTAGTTCACTGCTAGCACCAGTTGCCGCTTCTGCAGAAGCCCATGGGCTATTTTATTTAGGAACTGTCAAGAAACCTGTTTGTGTGTGTGACACTGTGTTCACTACGATAATGTTCACTTTCAATATATTAATGACAGCTTCAAGCTGGACCGTCTAGAGGATGTCTTGGTCAAATCTCTCCCATGTATTTAGATACGAACAAAGCGATCTTGCCTCTTTGAATGGATTCCAGCGTTTGTAGTAACGCAACGGACCCGGGTCCGCATGTGTGGCCCGACCATCGCTTGTATAGAGCATAAGACTAAACATACCCATTCATTTTTCATTGTTTTTAAAATTCCGCGCGAAAAAGTGACGAGCAGAAATTCGAGTATACATACAGTATTGGTGCGTGAAACAGAAAGTCATGACTTTCTGGCACACTCACGCAATCAATGAGTCATACAATGAACGTTCAGAAATCTTGTGTAGTTTGTTTTTGGAAAATAGCTTAAGTTCTTTAAAAGATTAAGATTTCCGAACGTTCAATGTATCAATTCTGGTTCATTGACTCGAATGACTCATTGCCTTCAAAATGGAGTCAGAATCTAACTCGTTTCTTACGACTCATGAAGAGCGAGTCACATCAAGTTTGAATCACTTGGGACAAATGAATGACTCCGATTATGACTCATATTGTGACTCCCTTCATGACTCAATTGTACTATACTGTTTCACTTTTCCGAACAGGACTCATAGAGCCAGTAATCATACGAAAAAATCGATTTCGGACACTTGCCATGGAAATGTACCGAAAAATCGACTTTTTTTCAACTTTCGACGAACAGTGCTCGGCCACCAGTCAACATTTGTACAATCTGAAAACGCCATTTGCCAGCACTATTTTTTGACGTATCATTTGTATAGAAAAAATCAATATTTCACATACCTCCCATACAAAAGTATCGAAAAATCGACTTTTTTCAACTTTCGACGAATAGTGCTCGGCTACCAGTCAACATTTTTACAATCTGAAAACGCCATTCGCCAGCACTATTCCAGCACTATTTTTTGACGTATAATTTGTGTAGAAAAAATCAATATTTCACATACCTCCCATACAAAAGTACCCAAAAATCGATTTTTCAACTTTAAACGAATAGTGCTAGCGTCTCCGAACAGCACTATTCATGGGACCAATTGCAATCGACAGCACTATTCGAGCACTATTTTTTACATGTTATGGTTTACCAGCACTATTTCAGGGCGGTGCTGATGACATGTACCTTGTATTTTGGAAGCACTAAATGAGCACTAAATCCCTGACCAAAAATTTGGGGTTAAAAAAAATCCACCTCAATTTCACCCCCACCCTTAACCGAAGGGGTTGTGGGGTATATCTGGAATGAGAGCACTAAATGAGCACTAAATTGTGGTACCATCAGATTTCCGATATCTCAATATGGGAAAAAGTTTTTTTTACGAAAATAGGGGTAGTCAACCCCCAAAACGCCGATGCTCATTCCCAGTTGAAGCACTAAATCTGAAATTGGTGTCACTAAATAGCACCAAATATACACATAAGGAATTCCCCATATGCGAAAATTGTCAGGCTGAAGAGTTTTGGCCAAACTAGTTGAGCTAAAAAATGATAAAATATAAAAATGACAACGTTTATTACACAACACATTCGGAAGACAATCCTTTATTGATAATTTTTTATAGGTTCGTTCAAACAAACAAGTTTAAAATGTAATTGAAGTCAAAATTGACTATTATGGTATCAACATGTATGTATTTGTATTTGTGTTTGATAACTTGCGCTAATATAATTTTTATTGTCTTGTTTTCTGGTTTAATATTTATTAGATTTGTATCATTATCATTTTGGAAGACATTGGTACCAACTTATTATAACTAACCTTCATGTTTTTCCCTTTGAATTGTTCACCCATTCATTTGATTAAAAAAACATTCAAAACTATAACTCAAAAATTATATTATAAATGCACACAAAATTGTAACCAAATTGAATTATTTTTTTCGGTAATTATCGTGTCGCTACTAAATGAGACCAACATTTTGGCTTTTTCACCAAAAGTTTTTTTTCTTTTAAAATTTAATTAGATGTCTATCATTGATAAACTTACGCAAGATTAATCGAAAAGTGAAACTTGCATTGAGCTTGGCGATAACATTATAACAAACGTGCTCGTTCAGAACAGTATTTATTAACATATTCCAGTTTGTTGAGTTAGTTTTTTTATTGTAAGCAGTCTTGTCCTAGCTTCCAGTGGACATTGGACAAGTCCATAAATTATATTTTTGTTATTTCGAATAATATTCTTGGCATTAGAAACCGAACAGGGAAAATGATAAAAACATAGTCCATGAATTTTCGCTGGATCTTTAAAAAAAATAGTTTTTTTATATATGTGTACTTAACTGATAAGAGCATAGAACGAGGGCGACAACATAACTCAATTGTAAGTCAACTGCTGAGAATAATGACTGCACTTTATTTTGATGTCTGATTGAATGTGAAAAAGTTTTTCGCATGAGTTGTACATCAAAATGGTAATATCGATTTTTTAGCTGGAATTACAGCAACAATTTGAGTACAAATTTTTTTCACAAATCAATAACGCCCGGCCACCATTCCTAGCAATTTGAATGTTCTGATATGTGTAGTCAACACCATCTTGAGTCAATGATAAGTTGAATCATAGAATACTTTGTGCATCTTGCCTCAAGTTTATGGCTTAACGGTGATATTACGAACTGTGCCATAACTTCAAATCAGCTAATATGCTTTGTTTTGCATGTTTGCTAAATTCTTTTGTCAAAATATCATACTTTCTTCACTCTGGATCTATATATTACATGTGCGTCGATTGTTTCAACCATTTTGAAGTTAGACCGCATTTTTGGAAAGTAATTTCGAAAAAGCTAACGGAAACCCAGTCTTATCTAGCTGACTTATCATACTATGTATGTTTTTTATAATTGAATACATTTACACAGTATTTTACATGTTGAACTTAACCCATTTCATCCCAGAACTTTTTGGTCACCCAAATATTAAAAGCAAGATCTGCATACTCGGATTCTATGATTCTTTATCAGTTTCTCGATAATTCCTCTTTGTATTTGTTGTTCTCAGTGCAAATAGGCGGAATTGTTTGAAAATGTCGAAAAAAAATCTTCCTACAACAAATTGGAATCATAAACATACATAGAACTATGATATTATTTTCATTGGTTAGATTCTTAGTGCGTAGGTCCGTACATATATGTAACACGGGGAAAATTTGGGTTAATGCATAGGATTTGCTGACTTCCTTTAGCACGTTTCATCATCGGCGGTTGAAACAATCAAAAATCACTTGTATTAGAGCAGTTGTTGTAAAACTTTGACGAGTCTCACTTTAAGATGGCATTGATTGCCCTTTGATAATTTATATTTCAATATTCATGATGATCCAATTTTTCATTAGAATCTTTAGATATATATATATAAATATACATATACATATTATATTTAAATCCATTATTTCCTATATAATAACTATCAATAATTGAACTTTTTTTGGAAGACTTCGTTTCATTTTATACACAGTTTATACTGTTAAACATATATCTGCAGCTTAAAGCATTCGACAATCAGTAAACATATAGATATTTGACACATCAGTATTGAACATAACATCTGTTCAAAAGCGTTAAGAGGTAATGAGTTGCTATTAAGTTAATTGCATTGAATGACTTCAAAAAATTGAAATTAAGAGGTGAGAATATACTAAGGATTTTGCTAGGAATGGTTGAACGATGAGATATTCGTTTCATATCACTTAAACATCTGTAATGCATGGATTTTGCACTATTTAAACTTGTGAGTGAATAGAAAGGTAAAACCTTGGGATATGTTCATAAATAGGCAGATTGCACTTAACGTGCAGTACAATTTTAACAACCACAGTAGTCTTTTATCTCCTATGAGTTTTAAATTTTTTGGATGCGCATATAATAGAAGAACGCGTGTATTCTCAGTACTTTTGGCAAAGTAGTGTCTTCGATAGTTAATTTTTAGTAAGTCGTAATTTGCACCTTTAAACAGTCTGAGAAAAGCATGAACTCCTCTACGACTATCTCATTGAAAACCATCCATGTGAGTTAATATTGTTAAGGGTTTGGCGTTGTACTTCATATTGTCACACATGTTCGTCAATCAAAATTCAGACTCACGAACTGCTATTTAGAATCAAATATTCATATGTTTACTGATTTGTTATTATTGTCATTTTAGCTTTGGAATAAATTTTTTAAAAAATGTTGAAATCGAAAAATCTATTTATTATAATCGACCTGGTAATCTTAGTATTACGACTCGTGTGTTTATTTTGCATATCGAGTGGTTAATCGGGGTGGTAAAGTGGTTATAATCAACTAATAACTATCGCCGGACTTAAACTTAACTGTACCAAATAAAAAATATTTCAAATTAGTGCACTAATAAAAGCGCAAACACTGATCAAGTTTCACCTTTGGCTGCGAATAATTACAATGGGTATTGGGATGGGGTTTCAATTGTTGCCTGATATTCTATACAAATTCTGAGTAAATTTATTGTACTGAAAGAAAGTGGAGTGGATGTTTTATTCATCAAAAATGTGTCTAAAATGAATTCAAAAATCTCTGAATTTTACAAACTTTGATAGATTGACAAAGATTAGTGGGTATATTCATTTATGAACCCAAGAACTTGACTATCAACGAACAGTCATAAGCGGCCGTTTACCAAATATGTTTTTTCGACTGTTTATTTAGTTGAAATTTCATCAAGCTGTTCACTCGTGTCGAGAGAATAAAATAAAGTGAAAGAACATTTATTCATTCATTTCATTTCCTACGAACAAACAATTGAGAAACAGCTGTTACAATTTCATGAAGCTGAATGAAATGGAGTCAATCTAAAAAAGAAATTCTTCGGTTAAATGCATGCAAGCTGAATACTATTTCTACACGTGAAGTATTTAAAACGGTAAACCAATTTCGAATGCTTCGATCAAAGCATTGCCCGAGTCATAAATACCTATGACCCCAAATAAAATTCCCAAGGAAATTATGAAATAGTCCCAAGCGCGCTGTTGCTGGTCTAGTAAATGACCTTTGATTTTTAAATGGAAATAACAGGGCCATATGAAACTTAACATGGTACCGGTAAAACTCCCAATGAAACCCATTAAAATTGAAAAATGTGGAATGAATATTGCCATCGTTATTGTGCCTACAACAACACCAACCCGGAATGCAAAGCCCCACACTTTCAATTCACCATCTAGTGCCCAAATAGTTGGAAATGGTGATTTTGGTTTGCCACGGAAAAATGCACGTTCAAGCAATTCACATGCAGCATAATATGGCAATGGATAACTAAGTATTGCTTTTATCACTAAAAACATATTTACTAACCCTTTAAAACCACTCGAGTGCAAATTATTTGTTATTACCTGTTGTGTGTCATTTTGAAATGTTAAAAAGCATAAATACCCAAATAATGCTTTGAACACAGCAGCTGCAATATGTGACCAGTCCAACATCCACTCAAATTTTGAGCGATCGATCATGTTGCCCTCGAGTGTTGGGAGGAAAATCTGTGATGTATACGAAAACACTATAACACCCAAGGAAATGGGAAAATTACCCATATCAATGCTCCATTTGACCTTAGACCAGCCCCAGTCACCGATTTCCAACAAACAATAACCAAGAATAACTGCATTAATCACTAAATGTGACATTGTACACCAAAACGACAAAACTGATACCATATGTAATGACTTTAGCAATCCAAGAGGTATCAAAAAAATGCCACACAACATCATCCAAGATCTAAGGAAAATAAATATCAAGTTCTGAATGAAACGAAGAATTTTTTAATGTTTTCAAACATGAAAATACCTAGAATCAAGTGCTCCTTCAGGAAATGTTCCGCTCATTAAATCGCCGCATACCACCACATATAAGATGCACGTCATCAATAATTCAATAATTTGTGCGATACTAACAAGGCGGGCGCCAATTCGCGGACCAAAACAGACTTTAGCAATCGACACATAACTATCTCTGACACGAACCATTTCGCCTGTATTTGGGTCCGGTTCATATAAACACTGCACCAAAATCTGAAAAGAATAATATCATAGCCCATTAAACTGGTATCAGATTTTTTCCATAGAAAGATTTGAAATACCTTTCCCGTATAGCAGCAAATGTGTGCAATGCCGACCATAGCGATTATGGCCCAATAACCACCACGAAGAACAGCAAATGGTAGCGAGACTATGAACATGCCTTGAATAGCGTTAGTGACATTCCAAGCAGCTTGGAATTCGTTTATTTTTTCGCTTGATCCTCCTTCTCCACCTACAAACGAACTTTCAGTGGAGGCTACGCTTGGCTGACTTTAGTTTCAGAATTGTAGAAGAATCATAAAATAAATGGAGATGATAAATTTCTGTAGATGTGAATCCATCCTTTAACATATATATATATATATAGTATAGTATATACAAATTTTAAAAAGTAGAATTCCTTAATGATTTATGAATAGTGACTCCTGGTTTCAAAGATAACTGATAAATTTTTTGTCACTGTTCTTTAAAATGAATAAAGCATAATTCGCTCATTAGTTTACCGATTTAAATAATTCTCCGAACGTTGATAGCCTTGATCATAGTCACCCATGAATGATGTACATTCTTGACCATGTTGTGCCCCGTTAACATTCTGACCGAATGGATTTGTGCTATTATTGAAAGGATTGAGTTCATGATGTTCCATTCGCTGTGGTTCGGTTTGCTGAATTTCGTCAGAAAAGTGAACATTCTGTGGTCTGGGCGGAACAGGTGGTGGACCATTTGGTTCTGCATATTCGCCCTTATTTGGTTTTTCAGGAAAACTTTGCTTCGCTGTTTGACATGCAACATTTATAATATTCTTAACTGGTGGAATCGGCAAGGATCGCACCTTATTTAAGAAGGCCAATTTATCCATGATTGATTAGGTTTTATATTATAATTATGTTAAATTGACTTTTACTTTTACTTTTGTGTTCGATTTTATTATGTTTCGTGAGCGGTTTGTATAGAGCTTCAGGAAGACTTGATTCTACGATTCTTATTACGTGTTTACATTACATTTATATTCACCGTGTCATATTATATGAATTATTTGCCAAAAACTGATAACTTATATAGGAGTGAAAATAATTACTTATAATAGATTCCAGGAAAACTAGCGAATTTTGTTAAGAGAAGCAATACGATTTATATACATTCAATTTTCAACCAGGAATTTTTTGTAGTGGCACTTAACTGGCATTAGCAAAAAAAAATTCACACCACAATTTCGAGAGCAAGTAGACGATATAATATCGATTTTGTCACTAAAATGGTTGTTCCTTCGTATGAAAGATAAAAGAGAATTCCAAACGGACTTTCAATAAAGTATATATATATAATTATATCAACGTTCACTAATCAGTGTTTATTTAAAAAGTGATAATTTGCATATTTACCAAGCAAGATTTAATTATTTTCTTATAAATAAATTTACCGTTTTCTTGAAGGCTCTGTTAAAATCGTCTTTGCCAGTCCTTTACTGACTAATAGGTACAATACACGCATACAGAGTGCAGCATCCCTCACAAACACATTCATAGATGGAGAGAACATGTACTTCATACCGCGCACACAGAATCATCAATTTTCCTGCTTCTGTTTACAACTTTTGAAAATAGAATTTCAATATATCATGTGGGGAAATTTCGTGGCCACACTCTACACTCAACATTTCGACTTTATAAGAAGATTTCGACAAAAATTTAATCATAAAATAGAATTTGTTAAAAGTTTTTGGCTATAATTATGATAACGGTTAAATTTTCTCTATCTAAAACATGCGCATTACACATAAATACTATATTAATAAAATGTCAAACTCTGATTTAACCCTGGATTCGGGGTATATACATTTTATTATCACATTTCCATTTCAGTATATAGAATAAAACAAAAAAACAATACGAAGCTATCATTAGAATGTCCCAAAAACCTAATTTTTACGAAAACTTTGCAAAATGGGAAAAATATTTTCTAAACTTTCTCTAATTTCGTATTTAGTTTTAGCTCCCGTAAAGACGATTTTTCCATTGACGAAAATTAACAAAACTACACGAGGTTTCACCATACGATAAATTAAGCCGGGGAATAGCTCAGGTTCATAGGAACTGAATTGTCCATGCATCTGGTTCAAGTATTCCAAACGTATCGGAAATCTTAAATCAACTGTCGCTACTAAATTTTGTATTTTAAACTCCATGAATTTTACCTGCAAAATAGACGACGATTAGATAACGTATTTTATGTTTCAATATTGAAAAACCTACCGGATAACCAAGTTTCTGGAGGATTCTAGCGAATTTTCGTGTTCCTAAATTTGCGTCCACTTCGTTGCGAGCACCAGTACAAACTACTTTTCCTGAGCGAAATATCAGTGCAGTACATCTTGGCTCCCGGATTCTCATGATAACTCCATGAAAACGAGAAGGATTGTATTCAGAATTCCTCGTCCGAAAATTTATCTTACGCAAGTTCAAATCGCAGCCTAAATTCACGGTAGCAACACAATTCTGGATTTTAATTGCATTTATCGCATCTTGCGGCTCAGTTGAGGGCATTGGGCTCTGTGCCACAATATTACATTGGGGTAATGGACTTTGAATATTTTGCGAAAATGACTGAATATGTGCTATAGGCTGCTGTATTGCCTGATGTGTCTGAGATTGACTTGTTGTATTAATTCGCTATGTGATTTAAAAAAACCTCAATATAATTTAGTCCATTAAAGATGTCATGTAGCTTACTTTTGATCCATTTGATCCAAATGCTCCATAAGGTGGTGAACCAATACCAAATAATTTGTTGTGTAAATTTTTCGTGGATGAGCTGCTTCTGTGGTTTTTATTATCCATTATGCAGTATTATGATTTTTTAAATTGAAGATAAACCAATTTTGTAATGTTTGTATATTTGCTATTCCTAAACAAATTCTTAATATCAAAAGCACATTGTCTGTAATGAGCACACACAAATTTTCAGAACAACGCAGAAAAAGACCGAAATACCGATATAAGAGAGACAAATATAGTGTTTTTACATACTATACTGTGTATGTATAGTACATTAGTCTATAAAGTTGTTCTTGTGTCTCTTTCACAATGCTATGAACATATTACATGCGTGTGTGCTTTGTAATTTTGATATAAAATAGTTTTGGGTTAATTTTGAAATGATTATTCTTCATTATATTGGCTTTCTGTTCCCAACAGAGAGAAAAAAATGAAAATTCACTCATGAAAATAAATAAGAAAGAAAGTAAAAAAATAGATGCAACGGCTATTTCTTAAAATGGCGTCGCTGTATTCAATCATAGTCCGTGTATACAAACACATACAAACGCATGCAAACCAGCTTATATTTGTAAGTGTAATTTGTGTAGACTTTTGGACCGCGGTGGCCATGTTTTTGTCAATTTCATTTGTGAAGAGTGAAGTAAGAGAAGCGTCAGTCAGTGAATTTATGCGAGAAGTTTACCTTTTAACTAAAGAAAATAATCAAACCGCTGGATTGGGTAGCTATCAATTGCCGTGATGAAAATACTGAAAAAACATCTCACAAAAAATTCTTACATTTCCAGTTAAATAATTTACTTTTTCGAAAAGTGGCGTGCACGCCAAACGACGTATTTGACAGAAGCAAAAAAGAGTGTTTACTTATTTTTGAAGAGTGCAAACAGTAAAGAAAATTACAACCAAATCAAAACAATTTAATATTAAATTTACGCCTGAATAAAATTCAAATTTCTTCGTTGCTCAAAAAGAACATTCGGAAATGGGAAAAGAAATTGATCCAGCTGATATTGGCAAATATCCCGAGGTCATCAAAAAGGCACAAGCCGAAATGTCGAATATGGATGTTCTAGTTTGCGGCCAGTGCAACAACGTATTCCATTTCATCGAGAAGTTTCGTGAACATAAATTAACTCAATGTTCAAAATCATCAACCTTGAAAGATAATTTGGAAACAAAACCGGTGATTTGGTCATTTTTACTGTGGAAAGCATCTCAATTAAATCAGGACCAGTCAAAAGATTCCAATGCTTGGCGTCTATATCAAAATTGGATGAAGCTGGATGAGGCTATCAAAGAAACTTGGGTCGTTGCAGGTCGGACAATTCAATCTTTTGCTAAGATTGGACATGGTAGCTTACAAGAAATGCCGGTAAAAATTACGAAAACTGTTGTTGACAATTCGGCTGAACCGGTTCGTGGACGACAGCTTGTTACAAATCGTGTGGTAAACAAAACGCCCATGTCTCAAAAAGAATTGGATGCCAGCTTCAATGAATTGAAAAACAGCGAGACGTCAATACCGATCGGTGTGAAACGTCCCATTGTGCGTTCTCCTCCTTCTAAAAACATCATTACTCGAGTTGGTACAACTGTCATTCAATCAAAACCAGGTGTTGTTTCGCGGGAAGCTTGGCGTACAATTGGAAGTACAGCCAACGGTAGTATGCAGACGAAAGAACATCGTATCGAAAAGATTCTGGCAAAACGTTTTAACCCGCGTCAAAAAGAACATGAATATCTAATTAAGTGGGAAAATATATCTCACGAAAACAATACATGGGAACCAGCCTCTCATCTTGAACCTTGCCCGGTTCTACTTGACACATTTGAGAAACAGTTGGCACGGCAAAAGGAGCAACGACAGGCTCAAGCTGCTAAGCTTGCCCAGGCTCAAGCGCAACAAGCACAAGAAGAAAGTAGAGCCAATGACAGCGTATCAAGTCAATCTGAAGATGATAGCGTGTCCGGCATCAAGCGCAGGAAATTGGAAACTTCTCCACTTAAGGTGGTTAATAAGGCTGATGCAAGCACACAGAATCGATCAACTTTCATTGGAAAAGCTAAACCGAACGGAATACAAACTATTGCATCAAATGAGAAATCTGCGGAAGTTGTAATCACAAATGCAAAAGATGGTAAACAAACGGGAATCGTTAAGAAAACTGGAGTCTCAATCAATCCAGTTCCAAAGAATGAAGCACAAGTAAAAGTCATTCCAAAAGGCGGCGATTCTGTCAGCGGTGTAGTTCGTGTGGGTAGCAATCAGCTAGGCACATCACAACAAAGAATCGTTCAAAAGTTGGGAAATACAACGGTTAAAACGGTACAGAACAATATTCGTTCAGCTGTAAAATCACAACCAAGGACGACACCATCTGTCGTCGCCGCTCCTACTCGTACTCAATCTGTAAGTGAAAAAACAATACTTAATTCGAATGAAGGCATACATCCATATCTAATGTATCCCATAATTCATAACTTTCAGGTGCATCAATTGAGCACAGTGAATCAGGCCAGAGCCGGAGTTAAGCCAACAATTACCCGAGTTGTGAAAAGCGCACCAAGTTCCAAAGCCGCAACACCTGAACAGAAAATTGCCGCACTAACCCGCCAAGGTAATCTGAAAATAACTCGAAAAGTTATAAATGCGCCAATTAACGCTCAGTCGATCGCCTTGCAAGGTGACGAAGAATTCAATTTGAATGAACCTTTTGTTGCAAATATCGATTCGAGAATTGAACCACAAGAACAACAACAAATGCCATTAGTCGCAACTCAAATTTTAAGTCCAGTCGATGCATCGGGGTCTTCAGTTGCCTTAATTGATACTACACAATTAGAAGCAAATGTAAGTGAAATTAAAAAAGAGAGCGAAGATATTGTCATGAATGAAGAGCAACTTCAACAGCTTCAACAAGCTGGTGGTATTGTCACTGATCAAGATGGGATACAGCAAATTTTGGCAGCAAGTGAAGATGGAAGTCAGCAATTGATACAGTTCGTTAATGGAGAAGATGGAACGATATATCAGGTAGCTGGTAAAAATGAGCAAGGTCAAACTATCTTAATTGCACAAGGAGCTGATGGTGAACAACAATGCGTTTATGTTGCTGCTGAAGATAGCGAAGCACTTGGTTTGGATGAAGCAAACAATGGCGTACTGTCAATTGACGGCAATTTAGTTGAAACTAATGCAGAAGTTCAGCAACAATTGCATCAACAATTAGTAGGGGATGGTCAGCAAAGCATCCAATTCTCGATTGGAACTGATGAAGCCGCTGCAGTACAAAATGTTCATCAGCCATTAGCAGTAGCTACGGAAGATGGTGACTCACAAGATGGACAAATCACAGCAGAAGTTGTACAAGCCGATTTACCATCACCAGGTAAACTACTAATAGTTAAATAATATATGTTTCATTAACCTTTTCACTACTACTATCTTTTATTTTTTT